GTTTCCTTAGCAACACTGGGTCGAAGGGGGGGAAGAAAGAGTGACTTAGGGGCGGGGCTAAGTGACCGACGCCACGCCCCCTTCGCTTCCGCCCCGCCTCCTGCTGTTGCGGGCCCTTTAAGAGCGGCACAAGGGAGGAGGGAGGGAAGGAGTCAGTCTCTCTTATTTCCTTGGCAAAACTGAGTCGAGGAAGAAAGGGAATTAGGGGGCGGGGCTAAGTGACCAATGCCACGCCCCCTTCGCCTCCGCCCCGCCTCCTCCTGCTGCTGCGGGCCTTTTAAGAGTTAGTCTCCCTTCATCCCTCCCTCGGGGTTTCCTTAGCAACACTGGGTCGAAGGGGGAAGAGAGAGGTATTAGGGGCGGAGCTAAGTGACCGACGCCCCGCCCCCTTGGCGTCCGCCCCGCCTCCTCCTGCTGCTGCGGGCCCTTTAAGAGCGGCGCGCGGGAGGAGGGAGGGCAGGCGGCAGTGAGTGAGTGCTGCGCTGCGGCTCGGGTGGGAGCAGCCGGTTGCCATGGGGACTGCGCTGCCGGCGGAAGAGCATCCTCGGGGAGGCGTCGGGGGGCGCCGGGCCCTGCTGGCTGTGATCGGGGAGGTCGGCACGGAGGAGGAGCGGGAGGCGGTGCGGAGGGGCTTGGAGCGCGGTGAGGCCTCTTCAGCACCCTGGAGAGCGGCGGGGAGGCGGAGTAGGGAGGGAGGGAGGGAGGGAAGCGCAGAGGGATGGGCCCAGCTTGGCTTTCGGCGTTAGTGCAGTGACGGGGGGGTGTCCTTTCTCCTGTGCCCAGGCCTTCGTTCGTGGGATGCCGAGCTCCCTCCTTCCGAGCTGGACCGGCAGCTGAGGCTCTTCGTCACTCGGCACCTGGCTCACTTCTCCTCGGAGGTCAGAGGTCAGTGCCTGGTCACTCCCCACCCTCTTCCTTTCCTTTCAAAGGAAGGAAGGCTGGGCCCGGCTCCATGGCTCTGCTGGGTGGCCATCTGTCGGGAGGGCTTTGATGGGGCCTTGGAGGGTCATCCCTTCTGCTGCCTGTCATGCCAGGTGCCTTCTTGGTCAATACAAGCTCTTAGCCATTGTAAACAGGGCTCATTTGGTTTGGGATGGGGGGGGGGGCTGTCTCTTTTTCTGGCTGTCTCTCCACCACCACCACCCCTCCCTCGAAAACCCAGCGCAGCAGGCCTGGCCAGGCCCCTAGCCAGGATTTCGTTTCGGGGGCTGAATTTTTTTCAGGGGGGTTTCGGGGGGGCTGAGTTTTGGGGGGGCTGAGTCTGAGTGAAAGAGGGTCTAGCCTAGCAAACCTTTTGTATCATTACCCCAATACCCCCATGCATATGGGATATATTGAGTATGGTGATCAGATCATGATATGAATAAACATAACAGTTTAAATAATGCACCAGTAAGGCCTTTTCGCAAACCACCATGAGAATTGGGGGGGGGGGCTGAAGCTCCTCAAGCCCCCCCCCCCCCCGGCTACATGCCTGGGCCTGGCTCCTGTCTGTAGGCCATGCCCTTGTGTTGCTTTGCAGAGGATGGTGGGGCTGGGGAGGCATGCCCATCCCTTCCTTTGGGGAGAACCTCGCCGCTCCCTCCCCCAAAGAGGATTGTGGGGCTGGGGATATGCAAATGCCCCTCTTCTAGGCTCAGGTTCATGCCTCTCTGCTGGCTTTCCTCCTCCCTCCCACCTTCCCTTTCTTTGCGCATCCTGACAGGACTTGAGTCCTGGTCTTTGCAATCTTTAGTCCATCCAAGGAAGTTCCAACATATAGCGAACATTATTATTATTAATTTATTTACAATATTTATATTCCACCTTTCTCACCCCATCCAAGGAAGGTCCAGCATACAGCGAACATTATTTATTTATTTATTTATTTATTTATTTATTTATAATATTTATATTCTGCACTTCTTACCCCATCCAAGGAAGGTCCAACATACAGCGAACATTATTATTATTATTATTATTATTATTATTATTATTAAATTATTTATTTACAATATTTATATTCTACCCTTTTTACCCCATCCAAGGAAGGTCCAACATACAGCGAACATTATTATTATTAATTATTAATTATTTACAATATTTATATTCCACCTTTCTCACCCCATCCAAGGAAGGTCCAGCATACAGCGAACATTATTTATTTATTTATTTATTTATTTATTTATTTATAATATTTATATTCTGCACTTCTTACCCCATCCAAGGAAGGTCCAACATACAGCGAACATTATTATTATTATTATTATTATTATTATTATTATTAAATTATTTATTTACAATATTTATATTCTACCCTTTTTACCCCATCCAAGGAAGGTCCAACATACAGCGAACATTATTATTATTAATTATTAATTATTTACAATATTTATATTCCACCCTTCTCGCCCCATCCAAGGAAGGTCCAACATACAGCGAACATTATTATTATTATTATTATTATTATTATTTATTTACAATATTTATATTCCGCCCTTCTCACCCTATCCAAAGAAGATAGCGAACATTACGGCGAACATTATTTATTTATTTATTTATTTACAGTATTTATATTCCACCCTTCTCACCCCATCCAAGGAAGGTCCAACATACAGCAAACATTATTATTAATTATTAATTATTTATTTACAATATTTATATTCCACCCTTCTTACTCCATCCAAGGAAGGTCCAACATACAGCAAACATTATTATTATTAATAATAATTTATTTACAGAATTTATAATCTGCCCTTCTCACCCCATAGGGGACTCAGGGCAGATTACATGCCCATATGCATGGCAAACATTCAATGCTATTAGACATATAACATATATAATAATAATAAACTTTATTTATACCTCGCCACCATCTCCCCAAAGGGGAGCCCGGTAATACATTACAGCAAAACAAAATGCAGAACGACCAAAAAAAATCACAATAAAATAAGTGATATAGACAGACACAGAGGCAATTTCACATTCCAGCTTTCCAGCTTCATGAGGGTATGCTCGGTTCCGCCCGCAGGGGGAGCTGCCACTTCACTGTCCACTTGTGACACGGAGTCCTTGATGGAGTACTTCCTCATTCTTGCACACACTGCTGGAAGTTTTTATGGTGTTGTAAATTAGTTAAATTAGCCTTGCCACATAAAATGGTACCTAAATTTCCTACTTGACAGATGCAACTGTCTTTCAGGCTGCATAGGTCAAAAGCAAGCTAGACTATTAATGGTCGGGAGCTCACTCCAACCCGGGCTGGCTTGGAACTCATGACCTCTCGGTCAATGGTGATTTAATGGTCATTCTTACGCATGCTGCTGGAAGGTTTTATGGTGTCATAAATTAGTTAAATTAGCCTCCATGCATAAAGTGGGGTGATAGTATGATAGCTGGGTTCAGAAGCTCTGAGCATTCCGCACATTCCGCAATGGCGGTTGTGAATAAGGGAAGGGGAGAGCGACACACGGAGGGCGAGAATATACTTCAATGTGGTGGAAGAATATAAAGGAGGGTAGGGTTAGGATAAAGTTTAGGGAAAGGTTTAGGGTTTGGGGTAGGGTAAGACTTAGGATTAGGGTTAGAATTAGGCTTAGGAGTTAGGGTTAGGTAAGGTTTAGGGTTTCGGTTAGGATTAGGGTTAAGGGTTAGGCTTAGGGTTAGGGTAAGGCTTAGGATTTGGGTAAGGGTTAGGCTTAGGGTTAGGGTAAGGCTTAGGATTTGGGTAAGGGTTAGGGTCTGATTTTATTATGCAGTTTTATATTCTTGATTTTATTTGTTATTTCATGTTTTGTTATGATGTATTTTGTTATTGTGTGTTTACTATGTTGTATTATTTGGGCTAGGCCTCATGTTAGCCGCCCCGAGTCCCCTTTGGGGAGATGGTGGCGGGTTAGAAATAAAGTTTATTATTATTTTACTGGCACAAAAGTACAGTATGTCACAGCAAACGGGATCTCTTTGCTGGATTTCATATCACAAAATCACAAGTCGAACACTTCCCAAGAATATAGGACTGTGTGATGTATTTTCGAATGATGCGCACAGATCCAAGTCCGGTGGCCTTTTGCAGTTGATAGATCGTGATTTTGTCGGTGCTTATTGTTTCCAAATGCCGGCTGAGATCTTTTAGCACAGCACCTAGTGCGCCAGTGACCACCTGTACTGGTTTATGCCAGAGCCTCTGCAGTTCATTTTGAGGTCTTGATAGCGGCTGAGTTTTTCCTGTTGTTTTTCCTCAATATGACTGTCATCAGTGACATCAATGATCCAGACTTTTTTCTTTTCCACAGTTGTGATGTCTGGTGTATTGTGTTCCGAAACATTATTATTATTATTATTATTATTATTATTATTAAAGAATTCTTACATTCCTTCTATAATATCTCTGTTCCGTTCTGCGTTGCGCAAATAGGGCTCCCAAAGGAGTTAAAACGGAAAGAGTTTTTTTTTGTCATGTCAGGAGCGACTTGAGAAACTGCAAGTCGCTTCTGGTGTGAGAGAATTGGCCGTCTGCAAGGACGTTGCCCAGGGGACACCTGGATGATTTGATGTTTTTATCATCCTTGTGGGAGGCTTCTCTCATGTCCCCACATGAGGAGCTGGAGCTGATAGAGGGAGCTCATCCGCCTCTCCCCGGATTCGAACCTGCGACCTGTCGGTCTTCAGTCCTGCTGGCACAGGGGTTTAACCCACTTGTCTGGTGATCCCCATAAACATAATAAATATAGAGTAAACGTAAAGGTAGTCCCCTGACATTAAGTCCAGTCATGTCTGACTCTGGGGTGTGGTGCTCATCTCCATTTCTAAGCCGAAGAGCCAGCGTTGTCCGTAGACACCTCCAAGGTCATGTGGCCAGCATGACTGCATGGAGCGCCGTTACCTTCCCGCCGGAGCGGTACCTATTGATCTACTCACATTTGCATGTTTTCGAACTGCTAGGTTGGCAGAAGCTAGGGCTGACAGCGGAAGCTCACGCCGCTCCCCGGAATCAAACCTGCGACCTTTCGATCAACAAGCTCAGCAGCTTAGTGCTTTAACCCACTGCGCCACCAGGGGCTCCCACTATTACCTAAAGCTGTATCTAAATTTCCTACTTGACAGATGCAACTGTCTTTTGGGCTGCATAGGTCAACAGCAAGCTAGGCTATTAATGGTGGGGAGTTCACTCTGGCTTGGAACTCCATCACCTCTGGGTCAATAGTGATTTAGAGGCTGGCCAAGCGGCTGCCTCTTGTGGTGCCTCTCTTTTCCTCCGTGCTTTGGCTCAACTCTGCCATTCCTCCTGACCCCCCCCCCCCATAAGGCGAAGAGGGGGGCTGCAGTGCGGGAGGGGCTGCTGCTTCTTCTTTTTTGGCAGGGGGCGGGGCCAGCTCCTGCTGCTCCTCCCCTCCCTCTCTCTCTCTCTCTGTGCCCCCCTCCCTCCCTCCCTCTCTCCCTCCCTCCCCTCCAGACTGGCAGCAGCATCAGCAGCGGCATCCTCCTCCTCCTCCTCTTCCTCCCCGGCGGCCGGAGGAGGCGGAGGCAGAAGGAAGCGCGGATCGGTAGGCCCTGCGGGAGGGAGGGAGGGAGGCAGGGAGGCCAGGAGGGGGACGCATCTGCCTGCATCTCCTTGGAGAGCACAGAGAGAAGGAGGGAGGGGAGGGGAGGGGAGGGGAGGGGGGGGGCAGCCAACGCCCTCCTCGAAGATGCAGCGCTGCCAGACGAACAGGGGGGGGGCGGCGGGGCGCGCTCCCGAGGCACGCACAATGCGGCAAATGCAGGGAGGGAGGGGGGGAGGGAGGAGGAAGAAAAAAAGGGGGGGGGGACACCCAAGCAGCAGAAGCTGAAGCCGCAGAGGGGGGGGCCTGGACAGGTGCAACGAGAGGGAGGGAGAGAGGGAGGGAATGGAGAGGAGGGGGTTC